AACATAACAACATTTTGGAAATGAACTTAGGGTTACTGTTCAAATCAACATCCACTAAATTGGACATCCTAAAATCCATAAACAACAATGTCCTGAAAATCAACATCCACAACACTAATAGAAGGGAAAAAACGGGTGGGAAAATCCATAGTAGAACCGACCACGCTTATCCACCACGAAAACCTATCGACACCAACCATTCGACCGATTAGGCACAAAATTGAACCAAAATTCACAGCCATCTACAACTGGAACTAGAAAGTGACCTAATCTAACCTGATTGGAACAACAACCGACCGGATTAGGATGGTCCGAGCACCAAAAATCAACATCGGAACATGCCGGTGGAGAAACGGGGAAAGAGAGGGGCTGGGGAATGCGTTCCTCACCGTCGATTCAGAAGCTAGAAGCCGACCTAAACTAACCTAATCCAACCTAATGGGTACAAAAACCGACCGGATTCGGAGGCTCCGTACACCAAAAACCGATGGCGGAACGGCGGGAACACACCGGCGGAGCAAAATAGGAAGACAAGGGGGGGGGGGATTGCGTTCCTCACCGCAGATTCAAACACCGTCCGCCGCATACAGGACCACACCACCACCAACAACAGTCACGGACGAGGGAGAATAGAGAGAGCAGAAATGAATGCACATAGCAGCGCGAGAAGGGGGGAAGAAGTAATGCGGGCGAGGGAAAGACGGGGGAGTGGGGAACGAGGGTATTGGGCGAGAGGGACGATTCTGGCGAGGCCCGCTTGTCATCGTCACACAAAACCTATAATGGCTATCGCCACGCGCGCTTCGCTCGGAACGGCCTACGCGCTTCGTCGGATTACAATCGAACGGCAACGAGATCGTGCGGATCTGACGCAAATGACCGGTCGACTGGTCGTTAGATTTCTCGTTATCCTATATATTCACACTTGTATTTTTTTCTTCATATTATTACTTCAAGTAATCAAACTGAAATATATTGCAAAACGTTCATGCAACAACGTGCGAGATAGCATCTAATATATCTAAATACTATCTCTGTTCACTTTTATAAGATGTTTTAGACATTCAGACACTGTCCAAAACAGTATAAAACAAGTTGTCTGAAACGTCTTACAGAAAACAAACAGAGAGAGTAATTGATCCCAACTAATTCTAATTCTTTTAGCATGCAATTATGCCAACTTATCATGCTTGCCACCATGTCAAAAGGGCACATCTTATAAAATCCATGCTTCCCATATTTGATAAATATTCTACAACTATAAATTAATCAAACAAAAAATTATATGTATTTTTTGTTCTTATATTATTAATTTATTTTATTCTCATGTTTTAATCTATTTTTATTTCCATATTGCTAATCTACTAGAAAAAAAAGTTTAGGCAGTTATGATATGGAAGGTTCTAGAAACAAAGGAGAAGTACTTGTGTTTTAAGGTTTGTGCATTATGCTTAAGTTCAACCATGGAGTCTTCTAGATTATACATGTGGCAGAATCTGATGGAATGTAGATGATATCTAATGGCCATTAGTGCTCGGATTTGCCATCTCTACACCGTCTGATTGGCTTCATCCAATGATCAGCTTTCAAATTTATTCGCACTCAATATAGGGGTATAGAAATAGTAATGTTTCATGGATGTAAATTCCACTTCAATACAACAACAACAACAAAGCCTTTAGTCCCAAACAAGTGGAGGTAGATTAGAGGTGAAATTCATCAGATCTCCCGACCAACTCATGGTTCTGACACATGGATAGCAAGCTTTCACACACCCCTGCTCCTGACTAGTTCTCGGTGATACCCTAGTCCTTCAAATATCTATTTACGAACGTCTCTCATGTCAAGTTTGGTCTACCCGACCTCTCTTGACATTATCAACACACTTTAGCCGTCCGCTATGCACTGAAATTGCTCAAGGTCTGCGCTGAATATGCCCAAATCATCTCAGACAATGTCGGACAAGCTTCTCTTCAATGGGCGCTACCTCAACTCTACCTCGTATATTATCATTCCGAACTTGGTTCTTCCTCGTGTGGCCACACATCCATCTCAACATGCGTATCTTCGCCACACTTAACTATTGAACATGTCATCTTTTAGTCGGCCAATACTTAGCACTACAACATTGTTGCTCGAATTGACGTCCTATAGAACTTGTCTTTTAGTTTTTGTGGCACTCTCCTGTCATAGAGAATGCCGGTTTTGATTTGATGGTTCACATCTTCTCAATATCCCCATCTTTTTGCAGCATTGACCTCAAGTATCGAAAGGCGACCTTCCAAGGCAAGCCCATCAAGGATACCCTCCCCCTCCCCATCATGTCTAGTAGTACTAAAACCGCATCTCATGTACTCGATTTTAGTTCTACTAAGAAACCTTTTGATTCCAAAATATTTATTCATAGCTCTAACTTTCTATTGACCCCCAGTCCAACTATCATTGACTAGCACCTCCTCATCCGCAAAGAACATACACCATGTCATATCTCCTTCTATATCCCTTGTGACCTCATCCATCACCAAAGCAAAAAAGATAAGGTCTCAAAGCTGGCCCCTGGTGCATCCCTATTTAATCGGGAAGTCCTCAGTGTTGTCATCACCCGTTCTAATACTTGTCACAACATTATCGTGCATGTCCTTGATGAGAGTAATGTACTTTGCTGGGACTTTGTGTTTCTCCAAGGCCCACCACATAAAATTCCGTGGAATCTTATCACAGGCCTTCTCCAAGTCAATGAACGCAATATGTAGGTCCTTCTTTTGCTCCATGTATGTATCCGTAAGTTGGCGTACCAAGAAAATGGCTTCCATGGTCGACCTCCCAGGCATGAAACCAATCTAATTTTTGGTCGTGCTTGTCATTCTTCTTAAGTGGTGCTCAATGGCTCTCTCCCATAGCTTCATTGTATGGGCTCGTCAGCTTAATTCCATGGTACGACTCTGAACATCCCTCTTGTCCGTGAAGATTGATACTAATAAACTCCGTCTCCATTCTTCTGGCATCTTGTTTGCCTGAAAATGTGGTTGAAAATCTTGGTTAGCCATAATATCGCTATGTCACTGAGGCCCCTCCACACCTCAGGATACAATCAAGGCCCATTGCCTTGCCTCCTTTCATCCTTTTTAAAGGCTCCATGACCTCTGACTCTTGGATTCGCCGCACGAAGTGTCTGTTGGTATCATCAAAGGAGTCGTCTAGTTCAATAGTAGAGCTCTCATTCTCCCCATTAAACAGCTTGTCGAACTACTCCCACCATCTATGCTTAATCTCCTTGTCCTTCACCAGAAGCTGGTCTGCTCCGCCCTTGATGCATTTGACTTGGTCAACATCCCTCAATTTCCCCTCTCGAATCTTGACGATCTTGTAGATGTCCCTTTCACTTTTCTTCGTGCTTAACCGCTGGTAGAGGTCCTCATACGCTCGATCCCTTGCTTCACCCACAGCTCACCTTGCGTCCTTCTTTGCCATCTTATACTTCTCTTTGTTGTCAGCACTCCTATTCAGATATAGACGTCTGGAACAATCTTTATTCTCCTTAATAGCCTTCTGGACATCATCATTTCACCATCAGGTATCTTTAATTTCGCTTCCACTTCCCCTGAACACTCCAAACTCCTGTGAGACAGCCTTACAAATGCAAGTCACCATCTTCATCCAAATATTGTCTGCATCCCCTCCTTCCTCCGTCGGGCCCTTCGCAATGACCCTCTCCTTGAACGCATGAGCCACCTCCCCCTTGAGTTTCCACCACTTCGTTCTAGCGACTCTGGCACGCTTATCCCGCTAGACACAAATCCAAGGAAGTCAACTACCACAAGCTTATGCTGAAGGACAACACTCTCTCCATGCATTGCCTTACCATCTAGGCACGCACGCCTATGTTCTCTTCTCAAAAGGATGAAATAAAGCTGGCTAGAGTGTTGACCACTACTAAAAGTCACTAGACGTGATTCTAATCTTTTATAATTAAAAATAATACCGCATCAACGTGTGGGGTAAAAATCTCTAGTGATACTAGATGATATCCCAGACGTTGCTGTGTGAATGTTTTGTAATATATTTCAATCAGATTTGACTATATGGAACATGGATATTTGAAATAATAATATGATAATTGAAAATATATATGATTTATTGTGTTTGAATATTCTATATTTGTATAATAACCGCTACGATTATTACCATAATATAATGAAAATACTCATGCATGTTTGCATGATTTTTCCTATGCATTATTGCATGTTGAGATGGACCTTCCTTTGCATACGTTGGTGGGGGCTAGTTATTTAGATGTAGAGAATTAGATAGTATAGAAAACCGAACAGAACATAAAAAATGTCACATGCACAGATTTTGGAAAACAGAATCATCTATTTAACTTTCAAAAAAGAAGAGAAATAGAGTCAGTATAGATACAATATAATGGTACGAGCTACAAAAAACAGCCCTTTATTCCGTTTCAGTTCTTACAACTAGTAGATATAAATCATTATAAGAAACAAGAGTAGCTACTAGTACTATATTTTTCGCATAATTCAAACTAGAACTTCGCCTTTATCAACTCCATCATGGTACCCCTCGCAAAAAAGGGAAAACTCCATCATGGTACGCACGCTGGGGTCCCTGACCCTTTTTAGTTCAACCAAATGAACTAAATTTCAAACATCACAGCACTTTTGATAATTTACTTCATTCGGTTGAACTAAGAGGGTCCACAGGCACCCCTGAACGTTAGAAATTTGCATCCCGATGCACGCACACGGCCAAAAAACGAGGATGTGGCAATAACGACCCCTAACGACCCACAAAACGTGGCGATGACTGAAAACGAGAAGGGCAAAAAACCGTCCGGATTTTCTCCCATTGTCTAGCTAGGTTCTAGTTTCTGAAGGTGCTTCCCCTCGTTATGTGTCTTACCGTTTTCGTGGGGGTAGCACGCTTCTTTTATATCGTTTTCGTGGGGGTAGCACGCTTCTTTTATATCGAAGAAAAAGAAACTAGGTTCTGAAGAGCTCCAGGCAGTGCTCCTGGTCCAGGTTCCTGCTCCAGAACTTCTTGTAGTACTCGTCGTAGGTGTAGTTTCTGTAGACCGCCGGCGACTTCTCGCCGATGAGCTTCTCCGCGGGGCCGAGCTTGACGCTGTTGCAGGGGCAGAGGAAGGAGGCGATGGACATCCTTGGCTTGTCCGAGTTCACCACGGCGCGGTGCCACACGCTCTTATATCTCCCGTTGCTCAGCGCCTGAAACGCAGTAGTGGAAATCAGTTTCAGTTAGCACCACTTCAGTCAGAATCCCTGAGTTCAGAAAAGAGTATAGACCACGTGCACTGTATGATGGCAACGGAAATCGGTTTCAGTTAACCCACTTCGGTCAGATTCCCCGAGTTCAGAAAAGAGTATAGACCATTTTGCAGTGTACGTGTGATGCTTGGAGTATATTATATGATTGCACGTCGAGACTGGCGTCATGCAATGCGTCACTGGATCTGGGCTGTTCGTGTAATTTGTTTGCACTTCTTGTGTGGTCGGTCAAGGGTTTGTCTTGATTATGTACGTGGATGCAGTTCAGTCCAGCAGATCAAACAATATTTTACTGAACTCGCACACAATTAGCAATTCAGTTCTACACCTAACTAGGCAATGTGTTCTACACCTAACTAGGCAAACAGTGTAAGATGTCTTGGCCTAAGCAGTTGACCATGTGTCCATGTGCAGTGTATGATGCTACATGGAGCACACATGGAGTCATTGGGCTACTCATGTTTGTTTACACTTGTTGTGTGGTCTGTCAAGAGATTGTCTTAATCATGTGGGTGCAGTTCAGTTAGAGCAGATCGAGCAGTATTATACCGAACCTATAGACAATTAGCAATGTGTTCTACACCTAACTAGGCTGCTAAACTACAACATGATGTATGCATATAATATGAGGGCGCACATTTGAATACTGCAACCGATCGATCTTGGTTTAATGAAAAGATGTACACTACGTATGTACTTGGTGCATCACCTGCAGCTGGTCGCCGAGATTGATGACGAGCGCGTTGGGCCGCGGGTTGACGGCGATCCACCGACCTTCCTTGAGCACCTGCAGCCCGGCGACCTGCTCGTCCATCATCAGGATGGTGAGGGCGTTGGGGTCCGTGTGCGCCGGGAGCCCGTAGGTCAGCTCCGGCGACGGGCACTTTGGGTAGAAGTTCACCGCCATGTGCTGCTCCTGCTCGCCGAGGACCTTCTTGATGTAGTCCTGCTCCAGCCCCAGGCTCTCCGAAATCATGGCGTAGAGCCGGAACCCGAGCTGCCGGACCTCCTTGCAGTATGTGCTCATGACATCCCTGGTTCATGAAAAACGTGCCAGCCGGTTAATCATCTGTAAACCTTGCAAGTTACAACTATTGTTTTTCTGAAAAGTAGCGTTTTCAGCAACTCAAATGTAGCATCAATGGGATACAAGCAAGCAGTGATCTAAACGATCCTATATTAGTTAACAGAGGGATTATCTTTTTCCGATAGAGATGAACAGAAGCATCTCGCTAGATATTTTCATTCGCACGCGATTTAGCAGCCGATTGTCGCTGTTAAACACTATTTCGTGGGGACATGTCGTGGTACCAGTGACCGTCTTGATCTCGGCCCTACGGTACCAAGTTCCTCTGTCATGTCCATCCTCCAATGACACCTTGTGATACCACCCCCATCCCCACACGAACAAGTTGCGACGTCGCGTCGACGTCGTCTATCATCCATGAGATCTAATCCTAGATCCTTAGCAGGTGAAATGTTCTGGACACACATCATGTGAGTGTGACCACCACCATGGATCATGTCCTTCATCGTGAACTCATGTGTTTTTTCAGTTTATTTTTTTTCAAAGAGTGGTTCTTATTTCATTGTCTCTTTGCGACATTTGTTCTGTCTCTCCGGTGCCCATGCTGCAAATTGCACCATTTTATAAGCAAAGTATCAGACAGGTCACCCGAACTGGCCAGTTCCTTGTTGCCCCTGCTCTCTCCCCCGGCCAGGACCCCCATTCACGTTTATGCCAGATTCTAGCACATTTAGGTGTGCGGTGTCGTTGTAGCATGGACCACTTCCGTTTGTTCACCCCCATTTGCTACTGATTTCTTTGCCGCCCTGAACTAATACTTTTATGAGTGCAGGAAACCCTGTTTGTCTGCGTACAGAGAATGCATCTCCAGCACATGCACAGGCCGTTGGTTGGTTGTTTTCTTTCAGGTACATGGTATAGCTTGTTAATGGTTTGGTACTGTGTACTGTATGGTTTGTTAGCAATAGTTTTGGCGCTCTGTACGCCGTCCTTGTTCCAGGTACAGAGCATAGTTTGTTAGTTTGGTGTATAATGCGTCCTTGGTTGTTCCAGGTACAGAGTACAGTCTGTTAGTTTGTTTGATAATTAGCTTGTACAGCGATCAGCCTCGTGACTCATGACAAAAGTGCCAGTTTCTTTGTCTGTTTACGGTTGAATCTAGGACGGAAACGCTAAAGAAATTGGTAGTCCCTTTGGCATCAGCGACAAAAGATTTGAAAAAGCTGTGTTCTCCTAGCTGAAGAAATGCTGGAACAATGTCAACTACTAGTGTGAGTGTGCTAGAAAGGTAGCCGCATGAGTACTTGATTGGTGCAGCTACGAGTGCTAGTGCTGGTACAAAATAATGCCAAAGTAATTAGGGGAAAGCACTTTCGAGGAATCTCTGGAGTAATCAAATTTGGAACACAAATTTCATAAGGGTGCTCTGTGTTCTTTCAGTGCTGGCGACACAAATTTTGAGTAGTTTCTTTCGGTGGGGAAAGAAGGAAGTGTAATGGCGGGGATTGGTGAAGAGTACCTGAAGGGCGGCGGATTGGCAGGCCACTCCGGGACGAACTGCTCGAGCGGGTGGCAGTGCAGGCGGAGGTAGTCGCGCCAGTTGTGCACGGTCTCCTTGCGCACGTTGAAGCTGGTGGAGAGGCGCATCTTCTTGGCCGGGTCGTCGGAGTAGAGCTTGGCCTTCTCCTCCGGCGAGAGGCGGAAGAAGTCGTGCGCCACCGCCATCGCTGCCAGCATGACCTCAAGCGGCAGCCCGTGGTTGAGCACCTGGCGACCGATCAGAAACCACACACGGTGAGCGAAAGCAGAGCGCCTCCATTCTCTCTTTCCCAAAAGGAAAAGCAGAGCGCCGGCCGGGCTTGTAAGCCGGAGGGAATGGGAATTGGGATGGACTAACCTGGAAGAAGCCGTGGGAGCTGCAGGCGGCGCCGATCTGGGCGACGACGGCGGCGCGGTCGGGGTTGGCGAGGTCGACGACGGGGATGTCGGCGTCGGGCACGACCTCGTCCAGGCGCGGCCGGTCCGCCTCCGACCTGACGTAGCTGTCGGGCAGCGTGTGGTGCACGGCCGTGGAGATGAGCTGCTCCGCCATGCCGGCACAAGAACAGAGAGAGACGGAGTAGATAGATGTGACGGTCGAGGCGTGAGCAGAGGAACGGCCGTAGGCGAAGAGGAAACGCCGCGGCTGGGCTGGTTTGTTTGAGCAGGCGGGGGAAGTCGGAGGATTTATGGACTCAACAGACGCGCTGGCGGGTTGACCACGGGCGGGGGTGTCGTCACTCACAGCCAAAGGCGGGACGTCATCGGCCTGGCGACGGCTGACGTACACCGGACGGATGGCGAGCCGCACAGCTTGGCGTGCCAGCCAGACGTTTGCGGCGGCGCGTCCAGGCCGCGTGTCGAGCACTGCCGTGCCACCCCTCCGGCCCCGGAGCACCCAAAAGAGAGTTTTGCTCCTAGCAGCAGAGGTGCTTAGAAATATACCAGTGTTATTTCAAGCACCGATGCTTATATGCAGAGGGTATACGCAATAGGTAAGTGTTTGGGTTCGGCGCGCCGACCGAACGCTCGGCCGGTCGCGAGCGACACATAAGCGCCACGCGGCCAAAAGGGCCCGCACGCACCCGTCCTATTCTCTCAGCCACACGTATTTGCCTTATCCTCTCATCCTCCGCTCGCCTCTCCTCCATGTGCCTCTGCATCTCAAGCATATTCATCCCCTGCTCGCCTCTCTTGCTTGGCTCCAGCCAGTGCGGCGATTTCTCCAGCGAGCCCACCACCGGAGAGGCATCCCTGCTCCTCTCTTGACCTCTCTCTGACTAGGAGGTCGTCGGCCCTCCCCTTCTTGCTCCCCGACGCCCCCGTGTGATGGGCACGGGTCGACTATGGATGGAGGAGGAAGCACGCCGGGGAGCTGCAGCTGGTGGATGGGAACAACTACAATCAGCCTCGCCTGGAGCTGCAACCTGCCTCGCCGGGAGCTGCAACCGACCACGGGTGGGAGCCTAATTGTGCTACTATAGGCGTTTTGATTTGATGGAACCATCACCCAATTTTTATTTTTTGCTACCACGGTAATATGTTTTTGCTGGAAGCATCAACATTTTTTGCTACCATCGATGCTTTGGTTTTGTTGGATCCAAGCCCAATTTTCATTTTTGCTACAACTATAATATTTTTTTTGCTGGAACCATCAACATTTTTTGTTGCCATCGGTTTTTTGGTTTTGTTGGAACAACGCCATTTTTTGCAAGTTTGCTACCACCAGCCTCTTGGTTTGCTGGAACGAGCTTCATCTTTTGCTACCACCGTATTTTTGCTGGGACAATGTCCATTTTTTCAATTTTTGCTACCAGCGTTATCTAGTTTTGCTGGAAGCAGCCTATTTTTTTGCTACCACCGCTGTTTTTGGATGCGAACCACGGCGTCCGCCATTGATTCTGGAGGTGGATTGAGGGAGAGGGATGAGGGGATGGGCAGCACCGGCAAGGGGCGAGCGTCGGCGACGTACGTGCGCTGCACGATGCGGAGGGGGTGCGGAGGCGCCGTCATGTCTCCCTCCTTTTTTTATTCAGTTTTCAATCGCGATGTGAAAAAGACGATGGGAAACGATGCCCGTCGACAGCTGTACGGGGTTCAATCAAACGGCTAGGACGCGACCGGCCCAACCGGTGCGCCGGCGCCTAGCGTTGGCCTACGCAATATGCACGATGCTTTTAAAAAATTCCGGTTTATTTTTTAAGCATCTCTCTTAGCATTGTATAAGGCCAAAGAGCATCTCCAGCAGATCTCGTAAATGTGGTCAAACTTTAGTATTTACGATACAATATGAAAAAAGACGCCCCGAATATATACCGTAGAACCCCGCAAAAAAAAGAATATATACCGTAGAGCAACATATCCCGTAAAAAGGTTTATAGGCTCCCCTATATTTGAGCCCCAATCCTTTATATCTAGTGGATTTCAACCGTTTTTGGAGGATCCTGTAAACCGGTCAACGCCGGAGCGGGGGCCTCGCGATGCCGCGTACAAGCAGCGAGCAAGCGAAGGAGCTCGCCGGCGGTCAGAGCATCATTGGAGCGTTACCGGAGTGTCATCGGAGCATCGCTGGAGCAGGCAATGGGCCACATCGGGCGGCAGGCCAGAGCGGCGCCGTTCTGGCCAGCCGGAGTTTGAGTTCGCCCATACATGCATCCCGGGGAAGAAGAAGCGTGAGGAGAAAAAAGAAAAAGAAAATGCTTACGGTACAGGTTTACGAGATCTGTTCCACCAGATGCCTTGCGGTACCGTAAATTCGTTTTAGGAGAGCCTGTATACTGATTTTACAGGTGGTGCTCTAGCAGACGCTGTAAAAGAGCCCGGCTCATATAATTCCGGCGCCTATACGGGCTTGGCCCTTTTTCGGGCCAAACCAGACCCCGTATAGTCGTCACGGCCCTTAAAACGTTTACAGTGGCCTGGAAGCCCCCTCCCCCGCACAGTATATCTACGGGTCCGCGGCTACTATACGAGGCGAAACCCTATTCCCCTTGCCGCCGCAATCCCCCCTTTCCCCTTGAATTTCTCGTCGCTGGCAACCCAAATCCACCGCCCCACTCCACTATCGCCGACAGATCCGCTACCATGTGGCGTGGGATGTGGAGCTCCGGCCGCGGCGCTGGCGGTGGTGAGGACCCCAAGCGGAAGCGCTGCGTCGCCGCCGACGCGACGAGGAAGCGGCCTGCCCAGCGGTACATGAACCGAGGTCTTGAGCCGCCGCCGGCCCTCATCCGCCGCA